AACAGTGTTTTTTTTGCTGCACACCTCTGCTTAAAGATGAAAAGTCATAAATTCTAACCTTTACTGAGCCAAGCAAGATAGCTGCCCAACTGTGAATGCTCTTTTTCAACTCCATTATACAATAGTTAGCCACAGGAAGCTAACAAGTAGAAACACAATAGCTTTCTTTTGGCCTCTGGGAACTAAGTATTGCAAATAGTCTTGTATTAATCATTGCTTTCCCCCCACCACAACAATACTTTCTTGTTCTATGTAGGGCTGTATAGCAGGCATGCAGTTCTATCACTTTAGTACATCTTCTTGTATCGTCTTCATTTGTTTGTAAATTAAATCCAATAAATCAACATGTCTCTTATTAGATGCAGAAAGGTCAGGTGTATCGTGAGGTATTATGTAGTTGAATTCTGCCTGCCCAGTGGAATGGCTTTATTACACCTCCTGCGTTTTCGTCTGTTAATGAGTCAAGACACTTCAATTTCAGCTGTAAAGGTCATTCTGTTTACACATGCAACAGATGTTTTATATCTGAGAGGGGGCCCTATTGCTGCAGGGAATTTATACACAGCTTGGATTATAAATTTAAGGAACTGGATTTAAGTGTAAGATGTTGTTAGTAAGATTGTGGGGTGTTAATTAGAAGATAGGAGGAGATGAGGATGTAAACATTAGCCTTTAACACAAGCACATAAAATGCCCTCTGCATTCAGAGCGTAAGCTGCTGTTTTTGGCTACAGCACAAATGGTACTTCACATATGGTTGGACATATTGTAGTGAATGTGAATTCATGTGAATGGCTTTGAACAGGTGGTTGGACATAAAGGAACGATTTTAGCTGGCTTCTTACATCAGAAAACAAGGGAACCAGATGATTTGTCATTTTATAAAAATATTGAAGTCAAGGCCTGAAAGCCTCTACTTCCAAAACTTTATTGTACGGCTACTCACTTTAATGAATCCAGGAAGAGGCCATTTACAAATCATACATATCCAGAAAAATCCATTAAACATGAGTAGACTATACTAGAATATACTACCAATATTTGCAAAGTTTATACAAAGATATGGAGTCAAATTAATACACAGACAATTTACTGTTACCTTAGAAATCCTCCTGCTTGGAGGTTCAATCCCTTTTCTAATCCGTATATAAACTGGCACTCAGTCTGTGCTTATTAAAAAAACATGTAGACAACAGTTGGAGACTGCTTTTGCAGTTCTCAGGGGTTTGTACTATAAATTAATTGTGCTCAATGAGGCTTGCATGGAGAATCAAGTGTTATTAAGAAATAAATCTTGAAAAACATCATTAATACATAACAATCCCTGGCAGGATCGTGAAAATCCAGTTCTGCTTTGAATTCTTATTGTTTTTGTTGTTTCTGTGTGGAGAAGGTCAGCCAGCCCCTGGGCTACAGCTAGCAGGTGGAATATATTGGTTTGGCTCAGCTCAGCATGTTGTGAGAGCTAAATGTCAATGCTGCAGCTGGGCTGATGCTGGCACCCTGCTGCCTCTCTAGGGGGGTTGCTGGAGATTTAGACCAAGCAATGTAGAATTTCTGCTTTCCAGATTGTAGTTCTCCGACCTTAAATGCCAATCCAGTACTCAACTGAACCAGAAAACAACCTGCTAGGGAATGGGCTCAGGCTCTCTTGAAGGTTTTAAAAAGTATGTGAATGGACTAGATGTGAATGAATATAACGCTGACCCTGCTAAGACAAGGTAAGTGCCCTTTTGCTCGTCAACACACAACCTATTTTTGAGGACTTCTTTTCATTGAAGAAGTTTGATTTTGTCAGCGACCCAAGTCTTTCAATCATCTGTCACTGAACTTTCAATACTGTTCTATAACAACTTTTAATCCGCGGCTTTATACCCTTCGGTTTTAAATTTGTCCATGTTTTATATTGGATTTTTTTTAAGGAAATTTTACAAAGACAACACAAGAATGTAAAGGAAGTATATCTCGGCAAAACAGTAGCTTTAGTCCATGAAAAAAGACAAAGTGTTGTTGACAAAGCCGTTATCAAAAGTCGCATCAGTCTTGGTTTTGATAAGTATGTGAGGGAGTAGTGACATTGACCAAAGTCGCATTGGTCCAAAAGCTTTTTTCAACAGAGAGCACTGTTAGTGCAGTCACAAAAAACAGCTAACTCTGGGGCTGCTTTTCCTCCTTTGAACACTAAGTGCTGCAAACACATTTGTTTTTGTATAGAAAACTGCCACTGCCAGCACAAAAAAAGCATTATTGGACAATGGCCATCAATCGATACATAAAGTCAAAATATCTAAGTCAAATATTGTTCATATTACCCTTAACCAATGTTTTTTGACACTTATAAGTGTCCCTTGCCTGTCTACAAACCCCACAATATAAGTCCATCCTCTCCTTTGTATGCCTGCTCCACTTTTCAGAAAATGTGTGCTCAAATAGGACGTTTGGAGATTTTCCCTTTATGACATCACAAAGGGAAGTAACCCCGCCCCCAGGTGGTGACACTCCCATATCTAGGTGTTTGTTCTGCCCTCTGAGTCTGCTTTGCTATCACATTACAGAGAGGGGGCGTGGTCACACACAGCTCACTTGCATTTAAAGCTACAGACACAGAAACAGCCTGTTCTCAGCCCCATTGTTACATTTGTGGTTTTAGTTATCTTAAGATATATTGGCGTCTTTCTCATAGTTTTCCTTCATAGTTCGATTAACTACTCTGTGACCTAACTCAAACAACAAAAGCGTTTTGTTTTTTGTAAGGTAAAGCTATCTGTAGAGACCCCCAGTATTTGGCCATGAAGCAGAGCAAAGAAATATTGCCTGTCCTTGTTACTGGCCTCTGAATATGACAGATTTTTGCATGGTGGTGGCTGATGGCATATCCTGACACCTTATAATCACCCAGACGTTCTCCTACAGAGATCCGTCACTGGTAGTAGAAAGGTGAGTGTGTTACCTCTACAGGATTGAGTGGGCTGAACTACATGTTCTGTACAACTCCTCAGTTGGTGAATCCTTTGTAAACCTTGTGAAAGGGCATTCTGTATTTATGTTTTGATTCATGTGTTTCTTAGCTGGATAAAGATTACTTTCCATCACTTTTGCCCTGAGCAGTGTTAGAAATCATCTCTCTCTTCCATTCACCCCCAAACAACACAGGTCAATCACTTAAAGCCAGGTCAGATACTTCATCAGTCAGTCACATTAATTATGACTTAGCTCAACGTTTGCAGATTCAGTGTGGTTATAACACTGCTTGTGGCCTTGTCGATTTGGAAACAAAAATGTATTTGAGCCATGCAGGGAAACAGCATGAGTGTTAATACACACGAGTTGCTAACATTATGACTGAATAATTATAGATCTGATCACAATAAAGAAAAATGAACAATCCAGTTTAGTCAGAAAGTGCCTACTATACATCACATTACTTCCATGGAGCTTTTGGGGGAATTGTGACATCCTGTACATTCAAGAGACAGTGAGGGGGTTTGATATCTTGGTCATTGTATGCTTATACAGATGATTATGAAATGGATGAGATGTTTATGGTGTGTCAGCACTCAGTGCTCAAGGTAAGGGCCTAAATTCCAAACTGTGTTGGACTTAGTGTATCTCACACAACGCCTACAAATAGTTCAAATTGCTTGGACTCTTAAATTGCCTCTTTGGTCAGACACCACTATGGGTCGGTGTATATTCTGAGGTCTCTTATTATGTCTGACTGAGTGAAGAGCAAAGTAAATGAAATGTCAATAGGACAAGGTTGAAAGCTGCATAATGGATTCACTGGTTAATCCCACCAAATGCATGTGAAGCACATTCTATTGATCTTACCCTCTGTCAGCTGTGGTATAGGATGTTATTGATCCAGTATAAAACTGGGCACTACTTGATCATGCACAAGGCTTTGATATGTTTTGGATTTTGGTCTTATTTCATTTGTTTGTACCTTTATCTAAGTTTAATCTTTGTTGGACTATTTATGTGAAAATACAGTGTGGTTGTTTTGGAAAAGGTGATGTCACGTCTTTGCAACAGTTTCCAACCATGTGGAAGAAATAGTAACTTTATGGTTTGGAAATAGGCAGAATCAGAATTACTCAAACTTTTCTTTAACATTTAATATTGTGTCAGTTTGAAATGGCTTTCTTGATAAAATCCCAACAGAGCACGCCTACACATAAACGTGTCCTTATCAAAAGACCTTTATATAAACTCTCCAGTTTGTGTTATCATGATTGTAGTTCATATGTGCAAATCTAATTTTAGAAAAGGGCTAGTTATATGCGTAGGTGCAGGGCAATACGAAAACAGCAGAGAGAAGAAGACATGTCTGCACACTTTATATAAATCAATATCAAATCTTTGAGCTTAACATCTTCTATACTTGCCTCCTCATTACATCCTGACAAGCCAGCTACTTGACAGTCCTTGATTATTTAGAGCAAGGGGTCAAAACTGGTGTTTGTTTAACCTTCACAAGCAGACAGGGTAATAAATCTGCACAAAAACTGTGAGAAGGCAAGCATACTGTCTGTCCTCACATAGACCTTGTGTTTTTGAATCGCTAAATCTTCTCTAACTGCAGAGCACAAAGCAGCAGCACACAGTATCTCTCCTCCTTTTGTTCATCTTTATTCTCTGCTTCCCTTGCTCTCTGACAATTATTTTCACTGATTCCTCCTTTACTTTATGGGATCTTCTTTTGTTTTTTCCTCATGACTGTTGATCTCTTTCAGCTGAACTTAAATAGTCCACACAACATTAACTATGTAGTCCACTTGTATGAGTCTGTGTGCTGCACTGCCTGCAGTAGTTCAGAACTATATGCAGCTCCACAGCTGCTGATCTGCTGTCACAACAACTCAAAAATAAATCTAACAACAACTATCATTTTCTGGACCTTTCACACAAGCACACGTCCTCTGAACAAATAAACAGGGACACTCACACCACCCTCTACACACAAAAAAACTGCAGTGTGTGTGTGTCTTGTTCCTCACCTTGTCCAAATGTGTGTGACTCCCCCTCCGCCGTTCCAGTTGTCTCTGCTGTGCTGTCCTTCATGTATATCCTCCTCCTTCATAGCAACACTCCACATTTCATTCCTGTGTGTGTGTGTGTGTGTGTGTGTGTGTCCGTGTGTGTGCAGGTGTATCGGAGGAAGGCGTCAAGCAGACTGGCAGTGTTGGAGGAGGCAGCGGAGGGGAGGACAGATTCTTACCAGAGGGAGATCCTTCACCTGCAGAGGCTGCTGAGAGAAAGACAGGAGGCTGAGGAGAGACTGCTGCAGTCCAAACGGTAGGAGGGGAGCGAGGAGGGGAGCGAGGAGGGGAGCGAGGAGGGGAGCGAGGAGGGGAGCGAGGAGAGAGAGAGAGAGAGAGCGACAGAGAGGGGAACACACATAAGGAGGCAGGCAAGAGAAAGGGAGGGGGAGAATAAGGGGGGGATGTGTGAATGAAAAGAGGAGAAAAAGAGAGAGATAGTGTGAAGCTTGAAAAAAAAAAAAGGGGGGATCCCAGAGACAGCAGAGGTAGTGGTACAGTGTGCATCGAGGCAGAGCCGGTCACATCAACATAACAATTTCTGACAAGAAACAGATAGAGACGTCTAGACGATCAGATCAGATTTAAACTCTTTGTAAACAAAGCATTGCATTGTTTCCGCAGCAGGCAAAGAGGTTGAGTTGAGGTGGGCTTTACGCCTTCTGGCAAACAGCTACAATGCACCTACCTGTCACTCAACTCAGTACGCCCCTCTTAGTATGCAAATTAATGCAAAACTATCATTCAAAATATCATCAAAACGGATCGGCTATAAAAGCTTGATTTCCCCCAAACAGTTTTTACCAATAAAGAAATGAGCTATAAAGACAAAACTCGTTTTTTTGTTCCTCGCTATAAACGTGTATTTCTGCTGTTAAAGTGGGCATTTCAACATGTGAAGTAACAGTGATTCATTGGCTTTTGCATCCGGCCACAAGTGGACACTCAAGGAACTGCATTATCTTAGGATTTGAACAGCGAGGTGATGTGAATAACAGACTGTTTGTTTGAGGGGCAAAAAAAATAAATCAAGGAAGCTTAAAAAAAAAACATGTGAATTTATTTTTATGTTTATTTTTTCATTTCAAATGTTATTATCTGCATCAGGCTGCAATACAGTTTAAATTTGGCTCTAAACAACTTAAATACAACCGACAACAGGTCAACAATTTACCCTAATAACTGAGAGAGCAAAACACCAACACAACAATGTGACCCAGCACAACACTACACAATGTACATACGTTCTTTAAAGCAAAACCTTAACTCCTCTGCTGTTGTGTCTCTCTGTATATTCTGACATCCCTTAAACCACAGGACACAACAGATCACACAGATCAGTTCTTAATTTCTCTCTGCACTCTAACCCCCTTAGGACCGTCTATTTCCACCAATCCTCTAATCCTCTTTGTGTGTCCTCATTCACAGATTCTGAATTGCTAAAACTGGAACAACTACATCTGCTTTTCAAAAACACTCACATAAACAGCCTGAAGCATTTTATGTTAGAATAACAGGGAGAAACCTGCTGCAGTTAGAAAGAGCAGATGGTGGTGGGCAATAATTAGGTTTGGTAAATGCGAGACAACTGGACTGAAAATAAGTATGTTTAAAACTTGAAATACATTACAATAACATGTTTCTTTTTGTTTGTCTAAAGGATATTTTCTCTGTATGTCTGTATGTCAGAAGAGGAGAGAAGAGCACATTAGTAAATCATGCCTGCCAGTGAAAGATAAGACACTGCATCTAAGTGGTACATTGCCCTTGTTAGGGGAATACTGTATTTACCAAAACCTCTGCAACAACCTCTTCTCTGCAAAGACCTCCATTTTCACAAACATTCTGAGAATCCTCTCAGAGAGCTCCTAACTAAACTTTAAAAAATCCTAGCAAGGATTTTTATCTTAGGAGTGATTTAGGAACATTCTCAGAGCAGCTCTGAGCGAGGAAGGGACAGAAACTTTTATCTTAGTGAGGAGGTCTGATTGCTAGTTATGTCACATATTTTTTTAGAAGACCTGATTGGTTGATCCAAAAAAAATGATGATGAAAAAATTGTTCTCTTAGTGATAATGGGCATTGATGAACAGTGAAATTGATTAGGCCCAATCATAGAATCCAGTCAGACAGTGTGTAATTATGAAGACTATGAAATTCTCTGTTAAATAAATTGTAAGACGTACTTTTAAAGTATATAGCCTGTATACAAGATGTTTGAAATCACATGCCCACTAAATACAGTGGGTTATATCAGCACGTGAAAAGCCTTAATTAGTGATTGGATGCACCTGTGGAGGTAACCACATGTAGAGAACATGCATGTCTCACTTTGTACTGAAAAAAGTCAGAGATGGATTAAAATGTCTGCATTAATATTTTTTGTCTGTCCGCCCAACTATGAGTCAATAATATTCTTCATGTAGTGTTTGCAGAGCATTTCTCTATTTTCTCCTCCACTTGAGAAACTCTTAAGCCTCTTCACTCCTCCTAACAGTAAACTGTAAAAAGCTTTGTGAATACCTTTCATCAGGATCTAGTCTTAACTTTGAGTGGAAATTCTTAGGAAATGTCCATTTTTTTCTGAGAATTGTGTCACTAGCAGTGACTATTTGTACTCTAGGAGGCTTTGTGAATATGACCCCTGGCTGTGGCAAACACATAATTACTTTAGATGTCAGAGCAAAACAATCCATTACAAGACAAAATTAGAAATGTCATTTGGCCAAACATTTGAGATGTCACGGATAATTATAGTTATTATTTTTTAGATTTCTTTTTACCGTCACAGTTTGACATCCCCTTTTAAAAACCAAACTGGCACATTGTTTCTCCTGAAGCAATGTACCACTACCCCTTTATTCTCCTGTTATTCACTGTTTTAGCTCAGCCTCCGGGCTTGTTGCCTGCTGTGAACAAATGAAAGCTAGCCAGTCAGCTTGTTAGGAGATACTTTCCTACTCAACCCTGAGGGCATCTTAGTGACAAGAACACACACTACCACAGTGATCACTCACACCACTAACCCGCATGCTTTACTGCTGGCATTGAGAGAATGCATTCAACATCAGCTTTCAAAAGCATGAACCTCAGTCTGAGTCTTTTATTTTACCAACCTTAAAATGACCATAAGATCCTGTTTCTAAGATGCACTTTCAATACCTTTTTTTCCATCTAAAGAAAGTGGGCTGTGTCCTATATACTGGTGTGATCAATATACCAGTATATAATGCTGAGACATGCAGCCACCATCAGCCACGGCACGCTACCTGGTGCATTTTAAAATGCACATTTCAATTGTGCATTGCAAGCAGTTGTTTGTCTGTGCAAAACATGTTGGCATAAGTAGGGACAGGGATGAGGCTTTCCTTTGTCATTAGGTCATAATGCATTTGAAGAAGACAGTGCAATAATTGTTCTGTGAATAAACTGTGTGGAGTGCTGGTTTGATTGAAAATACTCCTCAATTAAAGAAAGAGACCAGCAGAGGTGGGTAGTGCAACTCCAGAGGAATTGGTCATGGGCTTTGGGTCTGTCCTTCACAACTATCAACGTTGTGGTAGGCTGAGTGCTCAACTATTGTACGGTTAGCACGATTGCAAACTCCAGCAGATCGCACTAAAAAGAGCTGCAGCTGCACAGAAACTGTACATTCAGACTTTGCTGAGGGCTATGGAATTGTCACGCAGAAAGATAGTTTTGGGGGACCCCAAAAACAGACTGCATCTTATATACAGTTGCATCTTATAGTCTGTATTTGTTTGTAGACTAAATAACTAATAGGTCTTGAGAGAAGTTGTACGGGTGTAATAGTTAGTGGTAGTTATCTGGCCAAAGTGAGGTTTTGGGAAACAAAGATTTCCAGGTTCTCAGCTAAGGTTCAATGAGTTCAGCCAAGTAGCTATCCACCCATCTGAATTCAAACTTCTTAGGAAAAAATCTGTCTTCTCTTTTCTCTCTGATCCACTGCTTTGTATTCTGCTCATGTAACAGAAGCAGAGATGCTGATAGGTTGTGATTTCTTCCTTCTGCTGAGTTCTTTGTAGCCCTCAGTGAAGCAGCACTGCCTGATTCTTCCAGGAACTCAGGAGGAAATTCAGCCATCAGTGAGCCCTTTTCTCTCTCTAAAAGCAGTACTGTCCTCCAAAACCAAGCCACACAAACCAGAGCAGACTGATACATATTTATATTTTAAAGAGTGATTTTAAGTTGAGCAGCTGAAGTTTCTAGTGGATTTGCATAGCAATGAATAGTTCACTTCTTTCATGCCATTTCTGCAATCTGCTGGCTGATTATACAGTCCATTATCGGTGCATTTAGAATTTGTTTTGGGCTTCACAGAGTTTAGGATTAGAGAATAAATTAATATATCTCTAATTGGTTTTTGGATTGTTGAAGATTGTTGTATTTTTAGTTTTCATTTATAATTCTTTGCATCATGTGTAGTGTTATGGTTTAGAAAGTCCAGGGGTACCGCTGTGGACTTGTACTGCAGTTACAGCCTGGTTTATTTCGAGATTGTTTCAGCCTGATGAAACACTGTAAATTCTGTGTTTGGCTCGTTTTGAGCTTGTGGTTGCTGCAGTGTTAATCTCCCCTGTTTTCACACACTGTGTAAATCGCTGACTTTACTGTATGTTAATGGTCCAAACACTTGGAACCCCATACATATTTAATGCTGAAGTCCATGAATGCAGATAAACACATTTCAGCAGTACTTACTTCTCCCTTTGGTTTCCCATCGAGTCCTGTGTCTGCTGCAGGGAGGAACAGGGAGGAACAGGGAGGACAATGGCTGATCATCTTGAACTTTTTCCTGGAATCATCCATCATAGGTTGAAAGAAAAGCTCATGAAGTGATGCAATCCCTTAAAACACAATCTTCCTCATAACAAATCAGAAGTTTCAAGAATGCATTTTTTTTTAAACAAAGGAGAAGTATCACATTGTCAGTATTTAGTGGGGTGTCTCTTTGCAAGCGTAGCCTCTATGTTTTTGCTGCTTGTTGCTCTGAAGCTTCTTCTTGCTTGTATATCTGTGGTTAAAGTGAGTAGAAGGTGAAGTCTGGCCATGACACACAGTGAGAGTAATAGCTACACTCAGCTCACATTGATCATCTATAAACCGTCTGTAGAGCTGCAATAATATTATACTGTTTCATTAATATAGAGACACCAGAGTAAACCGGTTTTATTGC